CCAGACGTAGCCATGTCACTTATATATGTCATATATATATATTATATGTCATATATATATATATATAAAGATTTACGCAAGTATGTATATGCATAGCTACTTTGCTTAGTCACGGAAATTCATGGAAGTACTTGACTTATTGATAACACGAAACTATTCGAACATGAACATTTTCCAAATCATGATTGAGAAAACAATAACATTCAATATAAGAATATTGTAATATTTATAATATATTATGTTAATAAAAATGTGATACAGTTGTATAACTTTTGCGTACGATGTACGCAACAGCTTTTCTATAAGCCTGGAATTGGAAATGAAAAAACGAAGTCGCTGTCGAACAGATTGTGCCACTAAAGCAGTTGGTTTATTTCCAATTTTCTCGAATAAATAATATAACTGCGTAGTAATTTCGCTTCATCGAAACAGACATCGGATCACATTATAATCACGTGGTCGATAGATAGCGTATCTAATGTGACTATGTATTAATTTGTCTACGTGTATGTGTACAGATTTCGTGTGGTCGCGTGTATGCGATCAAATACAAATCTATATACATGTGTATTCGCATACTGCCTTCATGTGACGTCAGCTGATTCACCGAAACAGCGTTTGCTTTTTCTACATTATATCAGTTCCATCGCGATAAGAATTCCACACAAAAAGAAAGCTCGGTACTTGGAAATACCGGTTCAAGGTCATTTGAAAAAAATATGTTATATATATATATATATGTGTGTGTATACACACATGCGCGCGCGCGAGGCAAAAGGTGAGACCAATCCTTGACTTTGTGTCCATTTGGTCCTTTTTTTTCTTGGAAATCCTACTAATTATGTTAGCGTTCCGTAAAATACAATAGTTATTTATCATAATGTTCAAGTCAAGCGGAGCTGGCGTAAGGCTTCGATAGCTGAATAACTGGAAAAGGGTATAATTTTCAGAAGCATAATATTGTCTGGCCAATCATATCAGAGATGAATTTCCCTGTGACTAACCTCATCCTCTTTTGTTTTATGCGTTAATATTCACCATTTTGAAAATTTGTTAAATTCATGGAATGTACAATTTGAGGATCCGCGCAAACTTTGAATAATTACAATAACAATATGGAAACACGTTTATCGGATGTATAAAATGCGATTGGATGTAACACGAGAATCGGAAGTAACGTAAGATGGTATCGTTTAATTGCTAGAGAAGAAAAATCAGTTTTCTGATTTGTTTATAATAAGAAAGAAAACACGCAACTACGTCTTCTAAACTTTACATGGATAGCGATCACGTGGTGAATTATCAAAGACTTGCAAGAGAGGTAAGGGGAAGAGGAGAGACCTGAACGTATATAATCTTCAGCACGCATTCCACCACCCAGTTCTGCTTCGACTTCGGACGTGTGAATTGTGTCAAGCTTCCGAGGAGAGAAAGTTTTTGTTTGTTTGGTGCGCTCATTGTATGGGTAAGTTTTGTGGTTTATTTTGACTTCCTTTTCTTTTCTTTTTGCTTATTGAGGGTACTAAATCGAAAGATGTAATTACTGTATATTTTATAAAATAAAACGATTAACTGGTAGAAAATAATTCATGTATGCATACTTGAAACATCTTGTGTGCCCTAGTTCAGGAGGGAAATGCCTTTCACTTACCAACATTACATGTTGTAACCTAAGTCAGTGTATTTAATGACGTAATAAATTACAAACAAGGTACATTTTTGGTATAAATAATATATCACGTAAGCCACAAATTACAGGATGCGAAAAAATGTAAACATCAATGTTTTGGCGTCAATGGAATTTATGACTGTCACATCGTTATTTTTAGAATATACCTGAAATTTTTCTTTTTGAAATTACAAGAAAAAAATATCGAATAAATGTATATTTTTTTCTCTCTTACGTAATTATTTTGATTCTACTGATTAATCTGTTTTGAATCAACTTGAAGCATATTACATACTAAAAGTCGAATATATTCACATATTTTCTTTAATAAATATTCAGTGCTTTGTCACCCATTGATAATTTTTTTTTTCGAAGTTAGTAAGTGAAAATTAGTGTACTAGCGCGAACGGTAACACTGTGACGAAAGTCGTAGTAGACACGTGGCATGCTACTTATCTATTTGGTCGTGTATTGATTCACCATGCGTATATACTGTCGCCATGTTAGATACCAAGCCAACGACAACTCCGATCCGCTTCTCTGCATTTATTTCGCAAATTTTGTCATACGGCATTGTACTAATTCGTGTGCTTAAATAGCAATGGACATATGGTAAATATATTTATCAATAGAAATAGTAATTACATCAAGTAAATCATAACTTGTATTGATTGAAAAGGGTAGTTTTACACTTATGGACGTGCAACGCAAATACCATACTTTTTATACATTTTAATTTTTAATTATCTTTCGTTCGAAACGACAAATTACTTGTATGAAGTTTTGAATAACATGACTATTGAAAAAACAAATGCTTACTGTTACTATATGAATAATTTTAAGAAGCTATATTTACAGAGCGAGAGAAGAGTATAAAACACGGAGAGAGCCCTGTAGAGCCAATAAGCAGCTGCAGGGATGAGCATGGCTTTGTGCCAACAGTCGGCCGTTGGGGAAGTGAATGGCCGAGTTGACTCGAGACGGCAGAGATATGGTGCCAGCCACAGGGGCAGGCACGCGGGCCCTGGATCAGAGGTGTGCCGCTGCCCCTGCCGGTATGGGCCCATTACGAGGCACCAGCCTTGACCGTACTAACGGTCGAACAATATGAGGAACTAGCAGGCAGCGTTGAATTAGAAACGCAACACTTATTGCGTGAGCATCGCTATGACACCATTGGCAATTTCCTTAAGTAATTGTCATAACATACCTTTTTTCATAAATTCTCGCTTATAGACTATTATTGAAAAACTTTATTTCACAATTAACAGATTTTATAAGGATTATATTGCAAGTGGTGAAACCGTACTGGAGAGATTTTATCACAAATATCAACCACTTATAACACGTGAACATCATACCTGTGTGGGTTTGGGATTTGAATTGCTATACCGTTTAAGATGTTTGAATAAACGATTTCCTGGTATAGCAGGTGGCCTCTACTTAGTATCCTGTGAAGAGGTATTATTTATGATTCATAAACAGTTGAATTATTTTATTTTTATTTAATATACAGGGTGGTTGGTAACTGGTGGTATAAGCGGAAAGGGGGTGATTCTACGCGAAAAAAGAAGTCGAAAATATAGAATAAAAATTTTTCGTTTGAGGCTTTCTTTTCGAGAAAATCGACTTTGAATTTTCGCTCGGTACGCGTACGGTACGTTATAACGGACCTCACTGTAGATCGTTGTCTTAATGGAAAAATTGTTTAAGAAAAAGAAAATTTTATTCTATATTTTCGACTTATTTTTTCGCGCAGAATCACCCCCTTTCCGCTTGTACCACCAGTTACCACCACCCTGTATAATTCTAGATTCTATGAGTTCTTTTTTTTTACAGACGATCGATAATATTGCTAATTATGTTGGTGGACCACCCGCTGCAGATAGCGGAGAAAAGGAACATGTATTAGTATGTCTAAAAATCGAAATTGGTGGACGAAAAGGAGTTATGCTCCTTGATCCTGGATATCATGTAGCTCGAGTAATTACTGTGATGGAGGATAAGTTATACCCACATACGGGCTGGTTTATTCAATCTGATGAACCAGATTGCAAAAAAGAGTACAATTACTTTCTATGCACTAATGATCCTGATTACATTGAATGGCATGAGAGAAAAACTCGATCTGGTACCCTAGAGAGAACACAAGTTGCTCTTATATACGTGGCAAGGCCTTATTTAACTGCCATTGATGTTACTGAACGCAGAAATTTAGTTTATAACTTCAGGAGCCTTCTTGCAAGAGATACTAAAGGTCATGTTACAGCTGGTATATATTTTCCTGTTGTGCTAGATATAAACAATGCACAAACCTTTTCAATTTTTTATCAAACTAACAATGGCAAAAAACGAATTAAAATGGCATTCAACAAATTCTGCAGTTCACCGAAGGTACGTTTTACATTCATATACAGATTAATGTTAGACGATTGTAAATAATTAATTTTAAATCACCTTATTCAGATGCCTGGTGCCGAAGAAAAAGAAGTCATTGCTGAATGTGCTCGGCAATTAGGTCTCTCGCAAGTTACCCTAGAGGATCTATTATGTACTCTTGCAACAGTTATGAGTGACTCAGCCTTCGTGGCTCAACTCCTGGCTATTAATTCAAGAATCAACACTTTAGCAGAGGACAATTAACAGAAGTCAATCTGCCCTGTGTGGTGCAGACAATATATAATGTATCATTTTTTTTGCCGGCTTTCCTCTTACGTTCTTTTTATTTTGTTGATGGTTATCTTAATAGCTCTCCTATGTACTACAGATATTAATTTTATTCTGATTATAAAATAGGGTATAATATTTTTTAATGAACTTTAGTAAAACTTGTGTATTTAATGCATTGTTGTTAACAGTTCGATGAAAATATTAATGTATGTATTAATAATTTTTGAAGATTGTTTTCAAAATTCAATAATAGCATATATTTACACCATTCTTTATTATTGCTTATATAAATATTTAATCGTAGGTCGTTTTGAAGTTTTAGGAACTTGAATGCTTTCATTGAAACAATACTGAGTAAAATTAGTTTCCTGCTTATGTTTTAAAAAACAAAAATCATAAAAAATGGTGGTATTAGGGATGACTTATATTCAATCTCTTTGTTAGTATAAAGGTGGATTAAGTTATGCTAAATCTATAATTTTTATTTGAATAAACAGAGACAAGAATCATTACATTCAATTGTACATTTATTGATAAATATACTACCCCAAAATATGTTCATTTTTACTTGAAATTGAGAATGTACTAATATATTTTTAAATTCGAATATTCTTAATATCAAAAATATAACTAAAACTTAAATGTTATTTTAACATGATTATTTTTTAGACAAAGAAATCTCACAAAGATCAAATATATTAAAACCTAAAAAGTAACACCTTAGTAACATTCCAACATTTCCAAACAAAACATATTTCTGTTCATAAACCAAATTTTATGAGAAATGATTAATACTTTTTTTATATTATTCGAAATAAACCTACATATTTTCTAACATTCTTACTCTCATACTTTTCATACATTGATATATATTATTTCATAGAATTTCTACACATATGATATTCATTCATAAAGATTCTAAGAATCAGTAAGTCTATATGTAAAATGGAAAATAACTGCAGCATAACTTCGGTAAAGTACTTATTATATGATCTAAAAAATAGCTTTTTTATTTTTATTTGCAGAAAAATCTTTAAGAAATTACGATTCACTTAAATCTATAAGAACATGATATAAGAAATTATTTGTAAAACACTTTTAGATCTAATATAATATTATTAAATGATACGAATTTTACCGAAGTTCTGCAGTACCATCGGTAATAGTTTGAATGATTGATCTACATATTACTATCTGATACAACATGACACTTTTTCCAAACTTCATCATCCGGTATATGTTTGCGTTTTCGGTTTCCTACTACATTCGTAGTCGTTGCTGACGTAAAATTAGTATCTTGAATATTTGTGGAAGAACTCGAACTGTAAAGATGAGAATGTTAAACCATAGTATGTCTTTAGGTATAATAAAAATTAAACATGAGAATGTGAGAATATATCCATGTAATTAGTCCATGTGTAAATATCCTTTTTTAAGTATTTTTGTAAAAAAGGGAATGATTGATAAATTTTTACTTCCCCAAGAATTAAGTAGCATGGCATTGGAAAAACATATCCAAACAATTACAATAAAATTTTTAATTGAAATATCAGAACATAAATGTTAAGTGAAACGCAACGTACTTACGTTGCATAAGTGTCACCACTGTGTACTATGCTTTTACTTTATTAATATTTGCGGCTGTACCTGCAATACACAATATATGGTATATTTTATACCAATGTTGTTTGTTGTATTACAGATAACAAAATAAGTAATGGACTATAAACAAATGTAATAATGGATAATTTATATTTCATAACCTGATATAGAAATAAAAGATACTTTTAAAGTGAAAGTTTGTACCTCTGCCTTGAAATACAATTAAAGTTGAAAAGATATATATTATTTATACAGTAATCATGCAATATATATGATAAATTAGAAACATATATGATGTATGGTACATCTTTGCTGCTGCTTGTAACTATCACATGCTATAAACTACACAATAATTATTTTATAGATAAAAAATTTCATTCTTTTCAATATATTTTATTATTGACGTTTTTATACAAATACATAGACATTTATTCTAAATAAATGGAAACTAGCTTTAAGGTATGAGCATAAAACCAATTGTTTATGTACCATAATAATATTAATACATACATTACTTAATTACTTGTGTATTTGAATATACAGGGTGGTTGGTAACTGGTGGTACAAGCGGAAAGGGGGTGATTCGATTTTCTCGAAAACAAAACCTCAAACGAAAAATTTTTATTCTATATGTCAGAGATGAAAGGACACCGGAGCCTTCCCTCTGGAACTTCGGGAAAATCCGTAAAATTGTAATTAAAGTTTACAGTTGTAATTAAACAATTTGCCGTCATTCTGCCCAACTGCATTTGTTTGCGATTTGTGATAATAAATTTGGGCTTAAGGCGACCATTAGTCGCCGAACGTAGCCGCGGTCAACGGGACAGGCGCTTCGTCTAACAAAGGTGTGGAGTGATAGTATGACCCTCGTTGAAAGAAATACCCATAGAGGTACCTGACAGTAAAACATTCCAACGGTTCCTTCGGACAATGAATACCAGATATCGAGGCACTTACACAGTACAAGTTCAGTTAGCTTGAGGACCCGCTATGAAACCTGGGTTTTTTTGGTAATTAAGGTTCTTCAAACGGACAGGCAGTCTTTATCTCAAATTGACCAATTGACAGCGACGTCAATTTCCCTTACTTTCGGAACGAGGGCTATACTAGACGAATCCGATGATCTCGTGTCTTTGGACACACCCCATCATAGTTTTCCTCTGTGACATCATTGGGACGAAAATTCATTCTTTCTTGCGATCTCATCGACGAAGAGAGTAGCGCCGTACGATCTGCGAGTATTACACGTTTGAGTTAGATTTTGTGAACAAGGATATCTATCATCCCGTTGACCGAGGATTCGTTATCGAACCTAAGACCACTATCACTAGTGTCGCGAGTGCCTAATCGCTGCGATTGATTGTCAAGTCTGTAGTATTCATACTCGTGTTAATAACCCGTACCTTGGTTGTACCCTGACGATAGCTAAGCCCAATGAAGATTTATCAAACGCCTACAACCCTATTTCTGACTCTTCTCTAATATATATTTTCGACTTCTTTTATCGCGTAGAATCACCCCCTTTCCGCTTGTACCACCAGTTACCAACCACCCTGTATATGGAATTATAGACCTTTGATACACCTGTACACAGATACTATATACATAATACTATATCCATATGTTGAAAGCATAAATTTTTCAAATGAAGAATAAAATGTTTCGCTTTAATATACATATGTATAATAAACATAAACTTTAAAAAAGAAACTGAACTTACCTTAAATTGGAAATGGGGTTGTATGTTCTAAATGAAGGTGGTGGTCTTAGACTACATCTAGGAGAAGGTGCCCATCTTGAGGAATTAGAATATTGACTATGAAAGCATATAATAAGCAAATCAATAATGCACAAATAAGATGAAGTAACAAAATAAGAAAATGCTTAAAACTTAACAACATTTTAATTTTCATTTGACAAAAAAAATCAAGTGCAACATTTTATATATTTTATTGATACATTATCTTTTATTAAACTCAATGATTTTACATTACTATAAAATACTTTTAATGAGAATAAAAACTATAAAATATATTGCAGCTAATTTATCGCTGTAATGGTATGTATAAATCAATAAATAGTGTTATCCATTGTATGTCCACGTAACAGTAGTATAATAATATAAAAACAAATAATATAAAGAACTAAAGATATATATATCACAAAAAGTCTACAATGTAATATACTACACATATCTTCTTGCTCATGCTAAATTGAAACTAGATAGAAGAGATAAAAATTAAAGCTTAAATGTTTTTATTTGTATGTTCAATACAGAAGTTTGGCAGGGAATGCACAAAGTAAGACAGAAGTGACATAGTATGATGTAATCCTGTTTCTCCCTTCACTTCTTTTTACTGGTTCGTCTTTTGGATTTCTTATGCACACTGCATAAATTTGAGTTTGTCAATAACAATATTATACATGTAATATTGCTATGCATGCACACATATGCACATTTCTATACTCATATTGAACATGCATACAATTATATTTACATCTTGATACTACATTATTTTATAAAAATACTAATATTTTATAAAAAAAAGTGTATCAAAAATTAATTGTAGAAAGATATTAAAGAGAATTCAAGTAGATATTTGTACTTTTTTCATTTCTTTGTGCAAGTCATTGCATATAAAGGAAATATTGTTTGCAAGATATATTACACACATGCTGAAATAAATTTAAATTAACTAACCTTCCTGATGCATCAGGTAAAGCCAACTGCCTATGATCAGATCGATTTTGATGACCATGGCTACTATAATGAGAATTACCACCATGATAACGACGGACACGTGACTCCCATTCATTATTAAAACTCTCTGCTTCTTCTGTAAAACAAAATTTATATATTTTTACTCTATGCATGAAAAAAATAAAAACATAAATACAAAATTTGTGTAAAAACCTTCATCAAGATTAATAAATTCTTGACGTTCTTCCTGTTCACCACTGTGTAGATTATGTTCTCTCTCTAAGATATGTGCTCTATCTCCAATATGATGTTCAATAGCCATCTTTTTTGTTCCAGTACGAGAATCACAGACTGTTGTTTTTGTTTCTTTCACACCACCAGGAGCAGTTCTTGTGGACATAGTTGCTTGATACACCTGCGGTTGACCGTTACCAGCAAATGTCATTACAGATTTCGAAGTAAATGAATGACAATTTCCACTCTGCGCCATATTATCCTAAAACATATTTTTTATATTACTTTCTCTTGCAGATACTTTTTAGTCTATAAATGAAAAAAAAAAAATAAAAGAAATTAACATACAAAGTCTGAAAACACATTGCCTATATTAAATGATGGCATTGGTGGAAATCCAAATGGTAATATCTGAAGATTATTCTGATGACCCACGCTCCTATGGGTGCCATTTGCAGTAAGGTGGTGGCCAGGATTACTTAGCATACCAAATGGATCATGAAGCAAAGATGCCATCACGTCATTCATGTTCCTCATAGATTGCATATGAGACCTATAAAAAACATACAGCAACAAAAACTATATAATGTACTTTATCTGTTTACAGCTATCTCTAAGCATATTAAAATTAATTAATATAATGCTGCTAATGCTGCTAATTACATAAAAAACAATAATTATGTAATACATTAAATAACAGAAAAAATGAAATCTCCATCTGAAGATTAAAATAAATGCTTCTGCCTAGTTATATCTTAATCAGATTAAGAAAAGTGAATTTTGTTGCTAACATGAAATGCATAGAATTTTATTGTTGGATCGAATCCAACAATACTTTTCCGCAAATTTGTATAACGAAATTAATAAAATATTCTTTTAATAGTAATTATAATAAAATAGATAGAAAAAAGTATTCAATGCGAATATTTTTTATTTTTACACAAAACTAGACTAATAAAAGTTATTCTAACTCACCCAAAAACAGGATCATCGTTGAGATCACCCATCAATGATCCGAAAAAGGCCATTTTGAAAAACAGTTAAATGGATACTATTTGTAAAAAAAATTACGATCAATAATTGAAAATAGGATAACACGAACACTTGAAATGGATGAAACGAAGAAAATTTTCGTGAGAGATTTCGCCTAAAAGATTCTATAGAAACTTCTGGAAACAGAAATGTGAAGTGAAATGTCTAGTACTATTAGACACCACTCCACGGCCAAAAATTAACCGTATAACGAATAGTATACAGTATAATATACAGCAAATGGATCTAACTGTACATTTATACACCCATACTTATATAGTTTGGTGTTATGACTCGTTTGCATGAACCGTATTGTTTAGCTAATTTTAGCCAATACACTGTACTGTACTGCTATTGGATATCTCATTTCTAAAATTTCGAAGTCAATTTAATTTCGAATTTCTGAATTATTTTTTTAAATTGATTATAAATTTATTGCTTCAAATGTTTTCTTGTGTAATGATAAAAAACTGAAAGATTATTCTTTGATTAAAATGTATTAAAGAAAACTGATTGTTCTTATTCTATGAGTTTATATTATATATAACGATATAAGGTCGATTTTCATACATATATAAGATTTAATATATAACAGGAGTAGGGAACTGTTTGCTTATAAAAGTTAACAAGTTTGGAAGAAAGTAATTAGACGCGTATAATTTGTAAATTCCATAGTTGTTATAATATTTAAAGAATAAAGTATGAGCTGAATGTATTCAAATGTTTTTTGGTAAAAAGAAATTCTCCAACTATGTTGTTGACTTTAAGGTGAAAGGAATATTTCAGAGAGCGCCACATGTAAATTGATGAAAACACGTCATCGTTACATTTAACAGTACACAAGTAGAGGAATGAAATTTTTCCTCATACGCGAATTTTAAATGTCAACATTTGTGTGAAAATTATTACTTTCGCGTAATTAGGCATTTTTCATGATAAAAAAAATGTACTTAAAAAACGTAACAATTGTTAAAGCATTATGGAGATCATTCTAACCTAATTTACTTTCCTTGAATGAATAATATGTAAGTAAATTATATATATATTTTATAGATCTTTTATTATAGAAATTGATAAACAATTTTTTTCAATTAAAGAATCTATATATATATATTATACTATATATTATATATAATATATATATAAAAGTTCGTTTTTGTATTACATAAGACTGTTTTATTATTAAGGAAAAAATATAAATATTATATTATATTTTTTACTATTATAAATAGCAGTTTCATTTGTATATTTTATTTGTAGCGTAATATAAAGTATGATGTCCAATGGAATTTGGATCTCTACTGAAGAAGTTGGAGGAAAGTCAATGTCAAAGAATGCAAATTGTTCACCCATAACATCTTCAACATTGAATTCTCCACTTATGAAGTTGTCTTCATATTTCTTAGCTGTTCGACCATGGTCATTAAGTGCTTCATTAATGCCAACACTTCTTGGATCTGCATTAGCATATCGATTAACAAGTACAGCAAGTTTTAGCTGGATATCTTTGATTCTAACAGTATATACAGTTTTTTGCGTACATGGGGCTGGTAATGTAGTAAACACTTATTTCGATTACATAAAAGGAGTTGATAGCCGGAAAAGTGATGACAGAATATTGGTAGATCAACTTTTATCAAAGGATGAATTAGTTTCACTAGGTGCAATATTATATACAGCAGGGTGTTTGGGTTTTGTTTTATTAACAACTATATCTCCTGCAAGAATGGAACATCTTGCACTTGTGTATTTTGGAGGTTTATCCTCTTCATTTCTTTATACAGGAGGAATAGGATTTAAATACATTGCATTAGGTGATGTCCTTATCTTAGTTATATTTGGTCCAATTTCAGTTTTGTTTGCATTCATGGCTCAAACTGGTTATATCGAACTAGGTACAATATACTATGCTATACCTCTTGCATTAAATACAGAGGCTATTCTACACAGTAACAATACCCGAGACTTAGAAAGTGATAAAAAGGCAGGCATAGTGACATTAGCTATTTTAATAGGTCATACCATATCTCATGTTTTGTATGCTTTTTTATTATTCACTCCATATGTAACTCTGGTAGTGCTTGCATTAAGGTATTCTATATGGTTTTTATTACCAGTAACTACTTTACCAACTGCCTTCAAAATAGAAAAACAATTCAGAAACCCTCATATGATTCAGAGTGTACCCAAGCAAACAGCTAAATTAAATATGTTTTTGGGCATTTTATATGTCATTGCTTGCTTACTTGTGAATCCCCTTCCCTATCTGTAACATACATATGATTTGGTATCATTATCCAGAAAAGAACTTAAATGTGCAAATAATTGTATGAGCAGCTCTTAGTGTAATCTTACATAAGTTACAAATATTGCTTTCACCACTTTACATTGTTATTAATTCTTAATTACATAGTCAAGTGATGCATTATGAAATGCATTTTTTAGTATATCGTATTAATAATATTTGTAATACAATAAAAATTTGGAGATAATTTTCTAACAACGCAAACGTCTTGAATATGTACAAAAAAATTATACAATTAATAATTTGAATTTCTATTTGTAATTTTTCCATTGTGTGTAATTAACATATTTTTGCACTTAAAATAAGTGTAAAAAATGAATTTATGAATATATATAATTATTTAAGTATGTTTATAATAGTTTATCTTAAATAATTTATCTTCTTTATTTAGAAACTAAGTAATGTTATTTATAAAAAACCGATATGCATATCTTTTGTAACCTCAAGGATATAAGAATCTCGAGAATAGAAATCTACACGTACATTGCAGTTTTTACATTTTATAAATTGATAAATTTACAAAATAAGACAATAAATTCTTACGATATTTTGATAACGTACTAATACAATATTATTTCGTCGTTTCGTATTGATGTATAGATTTGTAATACAACCATTATTGTAAATTATCGACGTGACAGTGTTTATAATTACTTTATTGTTCTCTTCCTATTTTAAAGTGCAGGATGCAAATAGATGGAAATGTTTACATACTACGAAAAACCAAAGTAATAAAATTAAAATTAATTTCACTCGTTCGTCAAAAATAAAACAATATATTGTACCTCTAAATGTAAAATATAAGATACAACTTATAAACGATTAAACCACTATAATACATTAGAATTAATTTTATCATATGTATAAATTAATCACAACTATTTATGAAAGTAGATCCATGGTAATATCTCTTGTTTCTATCATATATTTATGTAAACAACGCAATCTCAACGAGAACAAGATATATCATATAAAATACGAGTAGTAAAGAAAAAAGCTAAGTTTTTATGGCAATAATTTAATAAATCATTGTGTATCAATTATTTTTCCTTTGTTTCCTGTTTAAAAAAAATCATTTCCCGTACGTTTTAATAAGTTCGATATATCCATAAATACAACAAAATGTTATGGAATTTTTATTATTAAAACATAAGTAATTTATAACATTACCTATGTCGCGTGTTTTTCATGTTTTTTTCTCTTCAAAATATAAGTTAATATAAACATGATTATCGATCTTAATCGATATATTGAAAAGTATAATTTCGATTATCGATAGAACAAACATAGAGAGAGATCGTTAAAACGTTATAACATTAAAACATACAAAAATTGATTTCAACATTTAGTATAAAATTGTACACTTAATAAGCTACTTTTTATTAAAAAAAACTCAAAATGCACAAATATCAAACGCTCCTTGATCCGATTGTGGTATGTCCATATGACAAAAGTCACTCTGTCGCAAAATCTCGTCTTCCAAAGCACATTATCAAATGCGAAAAAGTAAGTGTGTATTATAAACACATTGATCTTTTAATAATTCCAAACAATAAACAATCTTCGTGAAATATTCTCAAAATATAGTTATGTAAATATATGAAAAATTCTTATAATATAGTTATGTAAATACATTAAATCTTTAAAATAGCAATATCCTGAACATTATAAGCTCATGTGTCCATATAATGCATCCCACCGATTGTCTAAAAAAGAATTTGAGGAACATATCACTACCTGTCCCACACGTAATATATTGGAATCAGAAATATATTCAGGTCTTTTTTTTTTCTACTTTTATATTTTATTTCTAACATATTTTATACCTTTTAAAATAAAATATCAAAATATATTGTTTCATAGAAATAAGAAAACATGGTGCAACAAATTTTGTACCTCCAGATCTTTCAAGTACAATAGATTGCAAAGAAAATTGGGACATAGATATTAATGACAATTCCAATACCATAACTGAAGAAGAATATTCTGTGGGCAATAACATTGATTCAAAGTAATAATGAAGTTTTTGTTTTTATTCAATATTGATTTGTTACTTATTTATGACCTTTTTATATGTTTATAAGGGCTCATTGTGACTCTCCTCGAAATAAATTGAAAAAAAGAAGCTTAGATGATATATTTATAAGAGCACCACGTGGTTTCTCTGAAGCTATGTTAAAAGAAGGGAGTGAAGACTATTGTATTGAGGACCTAGAATCAGTAGTTAGTTCAATGGGAATTGGCAGAGGAAAGATTACATTGAACACTGATCAGTTGAAAAAAATTGGGCTAGGAAGGGGAGCAAATGAAGACTCTTGTATAGAGGATTCAGAATCAGTAATTAGTTCAATGGGAATTGGCAGAGGAAAGATTACATTGAACACTGATCAGTTGAAAAAAATTGGACTAGGAAGAGGAGCAAATGGAGACTCTTGTATAGAGGACTCAGAATTAGTAGTTAGTTCAATGGGAATTGGCAGAGGAAAGATTACACTGAACACTAATCAGTTGAAAAAAATTGGACTAGGAAGAGGAGCAAATGAAGACTCTTGTATAGAGGACTTAGAATCAGTAGTTAGTTCAGTGGGAATTGGCAGAGGGAAGATTACATTGAACACTGATCAGTTGAGAAAAATTGGACTAGGAAGGGGAGCAAATGAAGACTCTTGTATAGAGGACTTAGAATCAGTAGTTAGCTCAATGGGAATTGGCAGAGGAAAGATTACATTGAACACTGATAAGTTGAAAAAAATTGGACTAGGCAGGGGAAGATCAATGAACAATGTTTCATAAGTGTAATTCTGTTTTATAAATAATGGTCAACAAAGATATATATATGTATTCATATTTTTTTTAATTTAAATAAAATAATTCAGTATTATCTAAATATTATATTTTTATATATAATTTACAATATGTAATTTGTCACTTACATATCTTATACTTAAATATTTGTTTAATTTCATGAACTTTCTCGTTTATTTTAAAAATTTACATTTAAGATATTTACAAATATAGTGTAAATGATTTCTTAATTATCAAGTATAATTAATTCTCCTATAAAAAAGAATATTTTAAAAGTATATAAAAGAAGAAAGTAAAATATTTAAATTACTTGCAAAATAACATTACAATTGCAGTGGCAGTTGATTCATATTCATTATTTAAGTTTCTCATCTTTTCCATAATGTAAAATTTATGAATTTTAAATGTAATTAGAATGTAATTAAACATTAATCATAGTACATAAAATGGGAATATAACAAATAATATATTTTCTAATTATCAGTAGCAATTAATTTAGTATAGATTATACTTTTATGTTATTTAACATTGTCTTTAACAATACAAGATACTTTTTATGTTTGTATTTACAATTAATAAAATTTTTTTAAATTGTCTTTAACATTATTTAATGATAAATTTATGTAATATCAGCAATTGATAATGAAGTATGAAAATATAATTATATAAATGCGATTTGCAAAAAGAACTTTTAATTGATGTGGAAATAGTGAACTATAAACATATTTTTTGAAAATCAGCATTGCTTTTCTTAAGTTTTCAAAATGTTACAAATCTATGCCTATTTTCAGTAAATGCATTTCATTTCTAGAGTTGTAAAGCAAAAATACATATTTTGTCTTGAAATAACGAGATATCCAGATTTTTAATGAAGAAAGCATAATTACAAATAAAAATTTTTTAAAAATCTTTTTGAATACTTTACATTGTAGAAACAAAAAATATTTTATTGGATGGAATTGTTTCGAATAACGTATTACTATATACACAGATACAGATCTTTACTCATGAAATTTATTGAAGGAATACGCATGATACATTTACCATGTACATCTTTAAAAAGAATCATAATCGCTGCAAATTATCTTTCTCCATCATGCAATACGTGTTAACGTTTAAAAAGAAGCTTTTATAACAACTTTTTAAATATTTTGTATAAATCATTTACATAAATTTTGCATCAAATAATGTTTTTTTTTATATCCGTTCATAAATTACCAAATTTCAAATGAAAGGGTTTAAATAATTAACCTTTCCTGTTTCTACTCTGCTTAACTTACTATTCTTATAATCGATCATATGTTGTAATTTTTCATTCGCAGTCTCGTATATTTAAAACGTACAAAGGAACAAGTGCTAAGTTTGTAAATAAGATTTTAATTTCTCTGGATACTGATGTTATCAGCCAGCAATTATTTACAAGTTTTTTAAAAGTATCTGTTCTTTCTTTAAGAGTAATGTGCAGGCGGTTACCTAGCTGCAGTCTGTTTAACGTTTTAATGTATTAAAACTGTAAATTTATTGAGTGCAATATTTGCACATTAGCGAGATCATTGCACTGTATTCATTTACCACAGAGTGATACATCTATGGGCTGGTACAATATATCATGTAGTAATATTAACTACACAATATCGTGATGCTTCCATAAAATGATTATTGTATTAGGATCACAATTTATATTTTTGTCGATTTTTTCTTTTGTTGTTTCCACATTGATATTCTTTTCTCCAAATCGGGCACTAGGAATACGGAATAATTAATCACTAAATATTCTTTTTCTATTAGAAAAAAAAGTGATTTCATTTACTCACTTGGTGTAAGCATATCTTCGCTGAGAGGTTGTCGACTAAAAGGATCTGTAGCACTATTGAGAAGATGTCTAATAATAACTGCTTTATCCATAACTATACCAGACGGAAGTTTAACAGGTTCTTCCATGAGTGTGTCCATAAGTGGGTCTCGAAATTCTTCCGGTGCGTCACCATAATCTGCATCACGCGCACGATTATCCCTTGCTATATCTGCAGCACGTTCCGCAAGCGCTACAAATCTTTCTATCTCTATGATAGATTTGATTACTGATCTTTCTAACTTGTTTGCGGCATCAATAAATAGCTCCATACAGAATGAACGCTGCAATAATAGCATTCATTAGAACAACATTTTTCCATTATTCACTTCATGTATTAATACCATCATAAACTTACTTCATCGGCAGCCAAAGCAGCGGCAAAAATTTCGCAATCAAGATGTAGATATATGTCGACCAATTGACTTAGTAAAGCTCTTGGTTCCCACCCATATTTTTGTGGTATCCTTACTTTTAAGTTTTTACATTTAGGGCCACATAATTGTTGTAGATTAAAATTTAACATGGCACATAATCTTCCAACTAACTCTGGCCGCAAAAATGGTTCTGTAATATCATCTGTTAAATATTGGAACATAGCAACAGTTTCCTTGGCCAAAGTGAGATAAGATCTGGCTTGTCTCTCATCTGCAGCCAATTGTTTCATCCGCGAATGTTGTTGTTCACGGGATAATGCTGACCATGCTTTAAGATCTGACATTAGTTCTTGAATTTCATGAATACGCTTTAACGATTCCAAACTTTCATCAAGTAAAAATGTGGTGTCGTTCATTAACATGTTAATAAATTTCACAAATTGATTCCCATTATTGCTTTCATCAATGATCGACTTGCGATGGACTGGACTATCCCACATAGATTTCAGTATTAAACTAATGTGATAACGAATCGAAAATTTATCATAAAATTCTGAACTAGAGCCGGTCGTTTCGACATCAGTGTAAAATTTCATCAAATATGATGCTAATAACGTTTTTGATATAGGATGTGCCATTACTTGATCGTGGAGCGATTCAGTTCGTCCCTAAAATGAAAATTTATTAGATATTGTTCAAGAAAATATATAATTACAATCTTTTTTTATTTACCTGAACGTTGGGATTTATTACAAATATTACTTCAATAATTTTCGCTATTAAATACGGATTTCGTATACAATGTGGAGTACATACTACTACAAGTAACCATGTAATGAGTGAATTATCCATGTTGTTTATTATCACACCAGGGCAAAATCTATGAAAGATAGGAGATAATAATAATATAATATACAAATTATTGTGACATCTTGATATTAGACAATACAAAACAGTACTTACTGAAGAGTAAATAGTATAAATTCTGCAATATCTTCGACATACCATTCTGGTAATGCTGTGAACTTTTGTGGAACCTCTTGAGGCAAAGGCAGTTCGGGAATAGGATTTCCTGGTGAAGTTTGTGTCAATAAACTTAGCAGAATCTCTGCTACAGATATGTAAAAGTGCAAGCACCTTCTCAATAAAACAGGATCAATTAATCCAGCATCTGTGTATACTTTAGATTTGCCAAGATGTTTCAATTGTTCCTTACAACGTTCTATCAATTCTTTATTACGGCTAGCGAAAGGGCTGTCTTTCCATTGCGGTTCGGTAGCTTGTAGATCATCGAGCATTTTTTGCACATCACGTAAAGTCCTCAGCTTTCTCTGATATTTCTGTAAAGCCGGTAACAACGCTATGTGGTGACAATGTAGAGTAAGGAACCAACATTGTGTTGGAAACTTTGGCTCGACCCACTTGTGTGTCCTTTCTAAATGTTTTAACCAATCGGTAACTTCTTGGCACGTAAGTTTCAGCCTTGTATCGTTCTTTATTTCAATAAAACTTGCTGGATGAAACGGATACAATGGATCTACCGTGTCCAGTTTAATTTTTACAGAAAGCTTTTGTAACACCGACAAGAGATTCAGCATAAATCCGTCTCCGGCAAGAGAGAATTCTTCCGTTTGTATTTGAGCACGTTTTTCATTGTAACGTAATAATGTTGCTAAGTATGTTAACATAGCTTCACGGCAGTTACTACTCGCGAGTATCGCATGAAATATCTTATGGAGTGATGTTCTGATACTTTCTAATTCTTGTTGTAACGTTAAAGTTATCGATTTATTGACGAACAGATTACCACTGAGGAATGTTTCAGCCATGTCCAGTTGATCCTCTGCGAACACAGAAACCGACAAAAACGGTCCAAGGAGAGACGTTGTTGTAATTTCTTTACCAGCGGCCGACGTCATAATGTCAGGTAAAAATTGAATTTGATGAACGATTAAACGACAGATTGGTCGTACATTACTACTCGGTCCACAACAAATTTCTATTAACTCTTCTAATGCTTCAATCGGTCTTCGATGCGTATTCCTAATTAAACTGGCTTGCTGCATCGAAAGATACAGGCCTTGTAAGAGTGGTGTAAAAATTTTATTACATACTGCTGCATTTGTGTGCGTTCTCGCAACAAGCTCGTGTAAATAACCACGAGGTAAACTTTGCGAAAGTACTGGGTACAGAAGAGGTGTCATGGATAACGGGTATGTGGTTGAAGACTGAGAAATACCAACTAGGCCTTGTAGTACAAGACTGGAATACTGAACACACTGTGCCCTTAGAACAGCTAGTACATCAGACAGTGGTGGTGTACTCGATTTCTGTTCATAGAAAAGTTAGTATTACATCATTTGGCAAGGCATGTATTATGGCTGAAAATTAATGTCAACTGTACCTTTGGGTGATTTCGTTCTTCAATCGCAACTCTTGAATAGCAGTCTAGTAAATAAATGAGACTTTTAGGTTGTGACGACTTACAACAAATATCACAACGGCAAAATGTTGTGACCGGACTTTGTAATGGACTTGTTTGACTATTTGGACTATCTTCCCTATCCGAGGAGGTGTCTATATTAATTTCTTTTAAAGGATCCTCATCCCTCATAAACATGCATAAAACCTCCATTAATGCTTGATTTATAATCTCTGTGGCATCAACGAGTTTTGTTGATAACGCATATGTTGCTGTTTGTGGTAAAAATATACAACCCTCTGCTGGTTCTTTCCACGATATGCGTAGTACACGTGATATAACTGCATGTATTTGTTCTGTAGTTACCTCTGTACTGGAACTTGTAGTCTAAAGAGTAAATGAATATAATAATAGTAATATTTTATATACATTAACCAAAAAAGATATATATATATGTGCTTACGCGTGATCTTGGTTTTAATTCTTTTCTATCAGGCTCTTCAACTTCCATATTTTCAATCCCTGAATCTATATCAACACCAGAACTGCTACATTGCTTGTTATTACTTTCTTCTATCTCCATTGGTACTCCAGGATTTTGAAATTGTTGTTGTTTCAGTGGTGATATTATTTGTTCTGTAAATGTTTTAGATGGACCCGGTGTATTTGGAGAAACTGGATCATTATTGTGATTTGAATTGACTGTTGAACTGAAGCTGTCTAAGCCCGCTAAACGAGCCATACGTCTTCTTCTTACCTACAATTTAAATATATGTTAATTATTTAATATCTAATATTATTTTCATTTTTCTACAAGATAACTTCTTAACAATCCATAGATGACATAATTCCAATAAAAATTTTGTTTTATAATAACTTTCTACATTGAAAATACTATTTAATAGGACACAAAAAGAGATGACATAATAATCAGAACTACATAAGATCTAGACAAAGACTTGCTATATTTATATCAAGAACAAAGACCATAAACAATAACAATAAAAAATAAAAAGAATACTCTTATAAATGTATAAAATATATAGTTCATTTTTAAATAAATTTGTTTATATTAAAAATAATATCTCATACATATCTTAAAACAATGAAATACACGATTTTTGTTTACATTACAAAAGAAAGTAAATAAACGTTGTAGTTGATGACAAGAGAATCACTCTAAAAAATTGTATTATTACAATGGAAAAATCAGTTTTTATTTATTATGTTATATAATTATCTTAACACAATACCATAAGTAGAATAACGACTATTTTGCAATTATTGTCTCGTCGATGAGACCATTCTTTATCCTGTTATTCTTTCCTATTCCCTGGTAAACGGCCCTGTCATATTCCCTTTCATGTAACGAAAATAGTGAGAAAAGGGCAAGTATAAAGCGAAAGGAATGGTAACAACAAAACGGACTTACGGACGCTATTGAATAACGATTGGAAACGGTGCATTGGTACTCACTTCCTCTTGGCTTAACTCGCTCATGGCGATTTCTTTATTTTTTCTTTTGATCTCTCTAACCTCTGACACGATCAACTGTGATCCCCACGGTCGCTGGTGTTATAAAAATTCTATAGAAAAATTGTATTCGCTTGTTCAGAGAATCGTAAACGAGATACGTCAAAAATTTGGACAGCCACTCCACATCTGTTTGCGTTTGGACGTGAAAGCAGCAATTCTACACTGCGTTACGGATAATCACTGTTAAGCTGCGTCGATTCTTCAAAACAGCTGAGCAACTAATATACGATAGAACGCTCTCTCGCATTGATAATGGTAACTACAGTTTCGTCAACGCAGTTTTGCCGGTTGCGCAGTAGACCATTACCAAGAATCGAGAGAAATTCATCGTTGTAGTAGTAAAATGATCAGCAACTACACTACAGACTGACTAAACAACTTGTGATGTTATAACACAAACCAGATATGTATACAGGACAAACCTAACACTTTATGGAACTTTGTGTCACATGTTCTAGAATATCGATCGTGCAAAAAAATCACAGGTTTCGTTATGCCCTCTATGATTTACAGCGGTAAGTGTAGAAACCATATTCAGTTCAACCACCGAACTTGGTAACCTACCTCCCTGTTGGCAAAGTCAACAGGAATAAAAAGATTTTATTTGTTATATTCTCATATAAATATTCACATATATAGTATGAGACAATAATCTTTATCATCTTCGATATCTTCCTTATTTTTACAGATACGGAAAAGCACAAATGATAATATGACGATAATAATCTTTTTGAAGATGAAGAATTTTTTTTAATGACAAATACAATTTTATATTCTAATAAAATAGACTACAATAAAGTCATTATGGAAAACGTATTCTTTTAAAAATTGAATTCTCAATTTAGTATTTAATTTAAGCTTAGGCTAAAAGTGTACGTAAGAAATTGAATTATAAATGTTATAGAATACTTTGGGCAATTTTACCAAAACATATGTACATTAATAAATAATTGCTATAGTTAATGATTATATGAAAACATAAAAAAGTAATGTGAAATATAGGGCTTTAAAGAGGATTTTTATTACCTCTTAAATCGCGCATTCCTATTGGTTGTCAATATCATTTATATGTATGGCTGTGAACTTCTAGCAAATTTGCTAATTCATATCATTGTTGTACATTTGTGTTGTACATAATATTTTTTTCTACTTTTAAGATAGGATTAAAATAGGATTCTCTTAAAATTAAATAAGGTAATGTGTTATATAGGACAAATGATCTTATCTAATATCAAATCTAGGCAAAAGAGCATACGTAAGCATACGTAAATACAAGTTAAATCGCAATTAAACTTCCTAAAAATACATATACATAATATTTAATAAATCGTACCAAAATGAATACAGAAGAAATTATTGATTTCACGGATATAGGTAAATATTAATGCTACGATATGTTTGTGCAACTGAGTTCACCAACTATTATTGCCATTTTCTTGACTTGATATCGTAGGTAAATTTATTTGTCATTATTTGCTGTGAATCAAGTTGTGTTGTAAAACAATATGTTACCATATTTACATATAAATTACGTATATCATTAGTAAATATTTTTCACTAACAATTTACGTAATATTTTATAATTAGTAATTGTATTAATTTGTCTTTATTTTGATATATCGTAGAATATTTTTGTGGATTTTATTTTTGTACAATAGCCATAAATTATTTCACTAAAATATTCATTTCATTTTAAAACTTTCATTTCAGTTTATAAATTTACTAAACGAAGATTAATAGCGCTAACTTTTTTATAAATATTTATAATGTTTTATAGAACCAGATATTCAATCTCTAATAAAGAAGAGTGTAGCTGCTCGTGAGTACTCTTATTCACCCTATAGTAAATTTAAAGTCGGAGCTGGAGTGCTTTGTACCGATGGGATCATCTTCACAGGGTGCAATGTAGAAAATGCATCTTATCCTGTAGGAACATGTGCTGAAAGAACAGCTATTGTTAAAGCAGTGTCAGAAGGGAAAAGAAAGTTTAAAGTCCTAGCAGTTGTAGCTAATAAAGTGAATAATAATTTTACCACACCATGTGGCTTTTGTAGACAAGCTATCGCAGAGTTTGGTGATATACCAATTTATTTAGCAGAACCTTTAATGAAGGATGTGTTAAAAACTTCGCTAAGTAACCTATTACCTTGTGCCTTTGGGTTGGGAAACGCAGAAACATTACAATAAATTCTTAATAAAAGAAGGCTAAACCACACACCAACGTCTAAAACATCATTTAGTATTTCTTTAAAATCATAGTTCATTTTTATATCAATTGATATACTAGGATATTGTTCTGTCCTATAATAAAAATGTGCAAACATTGTTGTGTACATTGTATAAACTTATCAATAACAAAGTTAGTATATGAACAGTATGATTAAACAATTCAGATATCAGTTCCTATACAAATTTCAATAAATACAAAGACAATCCTTAAGAAAAAAATATTGTTACTATAATCTTATTCCTGAGTAGATCTTTTCATGTTTACATAAAAATTGATTATCATATGGTTTCTAAAGCGTGTTTTTTCTAATGTACATTGTACTTTATAAGCAGGAATAACATGAGTATTATATACAATCAATATAATAATATAGCTTATATATGTACAATATGATCTAATGGTATGATACTACATATAATTATTTCTTAATAATAAAAAATGCAAAAACAGGAACGAGACTGCACATCATACACATTAAGGTCCTCGTCTACGAAAATTCATATTTACCAGAAAGGGCACCTGTAAATTAAATACGATTTCATTAACATATAACAATACATTATTTTATATAATTAATAAATAATTATAAAATTATATTTAATATTTATATGTAATATATTGTAAATAAAGTAATAAAAAAATACCATCCAATGTAACATTGACACAAATTCTCGTTATTAGTAGCTTGCTGAATTAAAAGATCAACTTGGCGTTGGACACTCAGTGTTTCTTCGTGAGAGAAATCACGTCCAGTTAATTTATCCCTTACTCTTGTTATGATGGTAAGAGCTTTTTTGTTCAATGCTTCTGGTTGATTAGTATCACCTACAGTAATAATAAGTCCAATTTATTTTTTCACATATTTTATTATTTACATGCAAATTTTCAATTATCATTATTCTTTCTGTTTGATAGACTACAAAAACTTGAATTTTATCAAGATAAATAATTTACCTCCATTTTCAACGCTACATGGTACTCCTTTCTTTGGTAATGTGGCGGTAAGAGAATCTAATACATCGCTGTGCTCTTGATTACTACTGGCACTCATTCCTTGGGCATCAGATCTTTTACCTTTTAATGCGGCATTGTCCATCAACCGCCAGTTTAACAAAGGATCATAAACAAACGCTTCTAGCACTGCCATCAAACTATCTTTGTTACGATGTAACACTGACATTACTGATTCACAAGTTCTTCTGTACGTGCCCTCGATTCCCGTTACTTCCATTGCATTGATTAACATTCTTGTTAGCCGGAACGGAATTTTCTCGGGAAACTTCTCACGAGTCATGGCTACTTCGAAGCAATCTCCGAAGTCAATGTGCAATATTTTCCCACTTAAACGATCCAACATCAAATTAGATGGATGTCGATCACCAAGGCCAAGAATATATCCTACTATAGACATTACAGCGAGAGAACGGGTGTAATTTGTTCTACGATCAAACCATACTTCACTTGACGGTGATTTTAACCAAAGAAGTCGTGACAAATCATCACCATGTGTATGCTCAAGGGCATGTTCGAACACTTCAACCTTTTGCATGAGCATAAGATGGTCATAACCCGGTGCCATCTGTAAATCAACTTGTAATTAAATTAACTAAAACAGGATAACATATATATAGTATTATGTACTTACTCTTAACATTATCTTATGTTCTATGTTTAGTAGTATTTTCTTTTTTTCTCTGTAATCTCTAATTAATGTATGTAATGTATCACAATGTGGTACCCAACCAATCAGACCACTATTTGTGGATAGTGGAATTACAGCATACCTCTGAATATAAAATCTAGTTAATAAAATTCTACATTGTGAAATAATATTATAGGCTTTTCAATATTTTGATATACTTACTTGGATAGTAAGATTTCTTCTAAAGGTATCTGGATCATGCAACAGGAGGGTATTGACTAGACCAAATAATTGCATTACTCGTTCATCCTGTCTGAGATCTTCATGTCCTTTCAAAAGGAACATGTAATCTTTACCATTGCTACCTACAAACGTTAAATATTTAAAATGTTTAATGTGTTCAATGATTAATTACATATTAAATTAACTAATGAAATTCAAAGATAGCTGACCTTTTATACATAATTTTCGCGGTCGCTGTTTGCTTGTTATCACTTGCATGGAACTATGTATACTTGCTATCCTAACTATTGGTTGTCCAGGACTATAGCTGCCTGGCACGGCCAATTCTAAATCCCTACAAAGAAGTAATTTTGGACTGACATACTGAAGTTCTAAACTAGTTAGCTGCGGTAACTGTCGAGATATCCTCCTAAAAACGTGATAATACAAATCCCAAGCTTGATTCAAATCACGGACATTGCGCGAAGCTTTATATCTGCGACACCATTCTTGTGCCTCCATTAAATCTCTGCCGTAAGCTTGATTGAAAGATGTTTCTTTTAAAGTCTGTGGGCCTCTCTCTAACATTGCATGTAAGGGCTCTAACGTATCAAACATTCCCCGAACGTTTCTTTCACCGAAATATAATCTGCTGGCTTCTTCCAGCCCTTCATGCCACAATTCATGCCAGAGAATCGCGACTCTGATTAATTCATCACTAGCCATCATTGCTTGTTGCACCAGAGTCGGGCTATGTTCGCACATACTTTTAAGAATTTTATTGGCGGCAGTCTTTCTGGCATGACTGGCGCTTTTCGACGCTACAGTCAAAGGATAGACCAGGGCTTGAGGATGTGTTTTTCCAATATCTATCAAGAGATGATGTATACATCTACCAACTAAAGCTCTGGGTGTATCTATCCTTGCTATAAGTTGCGGAATTACTTGTAGCCAAGTATTGATTTCGATTAAACGGATACCTTCGACGATAGCTTCATACACTTCTGGCCACTGACCATAATCAAACCATAAGGTCAACAAACGAAGTGTATCTTGCAAAGAATTACCATGGGAAAGATTAATAGATCTGAAAAACCCTTCAACTGCTGGTACAGTAAATTGAGATATGTATTGTGAACTAGAAAGATTACCGCGAGTTCCGTTTCCTGGAATGTTCTCATTATTCGAATCGCCTTGTTGATGTTTATAAAATAAAACCGTTTCAAAGTTAGTATATGCAAAAGCATGCCATGCTTTGTACCAAGTAGGATCGTGTTCTGTAGCTGCAGCATAATAAGATAGTACCGCCGGAATAGAATGTTCATTTATGCCCTGCAAAGCTTCCAACCATTCTCCAAGCTTCAAATAACATCTAGCAAGTAATCGTTTTCTTACTTCTTGTTGTTTCTCATCTTCTTGATTTACCACCGACACAGTCGTCGGTTGTAAAGACATCTGCACAAATCTTTGCAATTGATTGTACGCTTCTTCGCGTTTATTTGCCACCCACATGTGCTTGCAATAAGCGAATGTCACTTGAGGATGAGTGGTTGGTAATGGCTGATCAGGAGTTAAAGAAGGATCTGTTCCAAGCAACATAACTAATGTTTTGTGACATAACATTAAACTGCCACTTTTCCTGCAGAGACTAGCGTATTTTAACCATGTATACATATCATCCTGGGGTGAAACTACCAGTGTGTGAACCTGTATAATCTTTTGCCAGTCTTCAACTATCCTCTGCCCACCTTGAAGCCTTTCCCACCACATGGATTTAATAGTGGACCTTCTTTCTGGGACCAATTTAAATTGTATTACTTCCTCTAGTTCTGCTAACTTCTGGACCTCCACCATGGCATTATAAGCTCTCTGATAACTTTCACCAGCCATGGCAGTCAATTCTGTGTCTAATAAATCTCTAGCACTATCAATTAGCTGATGAGCAATATCATATTGTTCATCATGAATTGCTAAAACAGCTCTATAAAAGGCGCCATCTTGAGTATCCTTTGGTATCAAGGAGACATATTTTTCCATACTTTCCCACTGATTTAAACCCCATGCTGCAGCCGCTGCCATTCTAGCCATTCTCTGCTTGGTTTCGTCGCTTTGATGTGACCACTGTTTCGTAGCAACATCGTGCAATTGTCCCCATTCCCCAAGAGCTTCTAAACAACGCATTTCACCTAGAGTTGACTCTACATCCGTAGAGTTGCTTTCTAATCTTTCTCTGTACAATTGCAAAGCTTTATCCCAATTATGCAATTTTTCATACCAACGAATTTGCACTTTTAAGTCTTGTTGATTATTTTGATTCATAACATATTCCAGTAAACCTTCTGCAGCTTCTTTTTGTTGAAGTTTGTTATTGATAGAAATTAAAGATTCAAAAACATTGCTATTTCTGCTTTTGTGAAACTCGTCTTCTTTATAATGTAATGCCTTTGCATAAGCTCTACAGTGCATTGCTCTTTCACCCAAAATTTTATTATCCAAAGGTAATGGCCCCTTATCACAATGTTCCATGAATTCTGCTAGGTTTAAGATCGTCTGTGTTATCTCTGGAAGATCAGGAACCATTAATGCTTGTTGTAAAGTTTGTATAAGCTCCGCTTTGTACGTGTCGTCTAATTCAGTCCAACAGGAAACGAAAGCAGCATTAAATAAGTCTCTCGGTAATTGAGAATAGGTTTGTGCAAGAGCCCAACATGATCTTAATGCAGGTGACGGTGATTCTTTGAGCAAACCTATCGACAAACTTCTTAGCCATTCCAGCCAATCGTCCTTTGAAACTCTTCTCGTTGCAGTCCAGGCTTTTTGAAGATTCGAAGCGGATACATGTAATCTTTTAATCGTAGTCGTGTCAGACGGTGTCAAAGATAAGTCACGATTTTTGTTTCTTGCATGTCGATGTCTCATTAAGAGATAATCTTCGCCGTCAGCAACGGTAGTCTCTGTCAAAATTTTATCAATTAGAACATCGTAACGCGAATTAACAATTTTATGCTTCGTCATAACTTTCTGTACTAATAAGATAAAGATCTGATATTTTTTCCCTAATTGTATCACTAACGCGCATAATGTGTCCATCGCCGTATTTCGTAGCTCTGGACACTGATCCAAAGTCCGTACCAAAGGATGCACGATTCTAGATGCAAAATCTGTGAAATCCAATGTATCTGCTAAATGATCAACAGTTTCAAGCGCCACTTTGTTCACAGTTATTGGGCAATCAGTGGCATGGAATAATTTTACAATTGGTGGTAAAACTAGATGAAGATAATTGTCTAGATTATTTCCAAATTTTTGGAGTGCTTGAAGAAGCTTCACTGTGACCCATCTATCCTTACTTGTGTCATGCGTTAAAACTCTTAATATTTGTGGCATCAATTGAGGTAAGTATATTTTAAATTCTGCACCTAATGCTACAGCAATATGTTCAACTAAAAGTATCAGCGTGCTCTGTAATGGACTATTCACAGTCCAAAA